TATGTATGTTATGAGATAACTTCGGCTAAATTTGTGAACCGAATTTGATGATTCTTTTTTTGTTGGAAAGACCTATACCTCAATAGTGGTCCCGTTCAAATTTGATGAAAATGGCCACCTCTAAGGTTGGTAAGTTAGGGGATGGATTTGGTTTGTTGAATTTCATAAACTCACTTTCTGCTAACCGATTTCTATAAAACTTGGCAAATAAAGTTTAATGCCACAAAATTTTTGAAATCGGTGTTTTTTAGTAATTATTATCATTATTATTATTAAGCGCTCTGTTACTTACTCTTATGGATGAAACTTCGAAGTATTTTATTTTAATTTTATGAGATTTTTCATCGTATTTTCTATTCTGATGACACAGAGCTGCTGCTTACCTACATTATCCCTCGATTGTGCACTGGACAAGCTTGCTAGTGTTTCAAATTCGTATTTGTCTATTACAAACCCTTGTTATAGGAGATGCCCAGTCTCAGTCTCGAAAGATGCGCTAACGCCGAGAAGATACCACCACAATTTAAAGACCTAGTGGACTATGTGCTTAAATCATTAAATGTTAAAGTCAGTTCTTCAGCAATTCTTAAAATAATCTTCTTAATTAACTTAAATGATCATCTTTTCGTAGTTTCACTACTACTACCAATTTATTGCACAATATCGACATGCAATTTAAAAATAATATCAAATACATTCCTTGTCGAATTCTTAAATTTGTGATAGATTCTTTCGCATTGAAAATCACGTAGAATTGTTTTTGAAACCGTTTCGAGCTCTTCACAAGTCCCGTGTTCATGCCGTCAGCTTTTTTTCTTTGCAAAATGTGTTTTTTGTTTTCGTTTTAACCCAAATACTCCTGGAACTTTTTGAACTGATGGATATTTTAAATTTTTCATTAGTTAGTTTGTTTAGTTAGTTTATTATAAGTGAAAAATTATAAGGTCTTCCGGAAAATCCGGGAAACCTGCGGTGTATGATATAACACCTGGTCCGAGAATTTAGATTAAGATTTATTTAGTTAGCTTGTAAACTTTACATTATTATATACAATATTCTATTGTATTACAAGAATCGTTACAAATAGTAATAAATGTTACATTTCAAACAATGACAATTATCCAGTACTAGTTTTGTACTACGTAATTTTGACACAGTTAATGTAGATATCGAAATAACGTAGAAACATTAAATAATATAATCATAATTATGTGAATATAATAAAGTTTATAATTTTAATAATATTTATACCTAACAATCTAGTAAATTACAACATGTATTACATTGACTTACAAATAAATGGACGACGGGTCTAATACAAAAACCACGAAAAAAAATCAACCTATTTAAACGTAGTGACATGTCAAGGAATATGAAAAAGCTAAACGTTGAATTTAAATTGTAATGTCATCGCAGTACTGTCTAATTTTCCTTGCTTCGCTGTCAGTCGAACAAACGAAGACTAGAGCGTGAATGACGCTCTGTATACGATTTTAACGCCTTATAAGTTCGGACACTTTTTAGCGCGGACCCGACGTCCATATAATTGTAAGTCAATGATGTATTACAAGATCATGTCCCTATATTCTTCAGTCGGCCTGTACTCCCTGGCCGCTCCACATACTTGAAGGTTTATTAAACAAACCAACAGTTTACTTCCCGTTAATGTATTTATTTCTCTAATGAAACAGTTGTACTTATTTTTAAACATATTAACGCATGGTTAAAATTAACTATCACCAAGTGGACTTGCTACGGAGCATACTCTTCAGCCGAACAACAAACTGCATCTAATAACTTTAAACTAATGTAATTTGTTATGACTACACTTACTGTATGAGAGGTAGCTGTTAGGTACTTTTTTGGGAATATTGCTTTCTTGAAAGTGTATCAACTTTTTTAAATCCAAGATAGCGCGGCGGGAGAGTATTGCTTTGCGGCACGACCACCTAAGGGCGCGTTCTCACTATGTCGTAACGACGTGCAGTTTACAGTGTCGTGGCTTGTATACTTAAATGAAGTTGTTCACATATAGCACGACACGATTAACTGTCGTTTTTATCGTTACAACGACAAACTGTCGTCACAGTGGGAACAGCTAGAACGACAGTCGTCAGACGACAAAAAAACGTCACGATCTAGTGAGAACAGCTAGTCACGACAGTCGTTCAAAGATAAAAAATCGTCCACGACAGACAGTCGTGATATGGGAACAGGCTAGACACGACAGTCGTCCAACGATAATAAAACGTGATGACATAGTGGGAACGCGCCCTAAGTAGTTAAATATTTCGTAATCTATTGAGGTACTATTAATTTTGTTATATGTCTAGGAAAGTAGACTTAAGTGCCAATTATTTTGTACTACTGCATCCGAGTACGTGTAAATACGTAGGTGGTCCGGCCACAGAGGATCACTCGCGCGCGTGCAGTACTGCGATTATCACACTGCTCGGCGACACGCAACGGTGTGTGCTGCGTTTTTTATTTATTTTTTATTATTTTATTATTGTATGGCACGTTGCGCTCCGCACTACCATGCAGATTTTTATGCGTAAGGACGTACAGTTGTCTGCAATGGATTGACAAATTTATATTTGAAATTAAATGTCGCCCAGTAATTGGGAACATGAATTGTGAAGAATATTGTAACCGCGTCCAAAAAGGCAATGGGAAGAGGTGACAAATATATTTACGAAAGAAAGGATGTGTCCAATATCTTTACGGGCACGGTGTCTTACAACCAAATAGTATAACTGCAGCGTCTTGAATGAGTTCTGTATTATGGCCTATTTATGTCAAAGATGGATCTCGGCTATATATACAATAACTGCGGTGATCAACTCCGTTTCGAAGTGAGCTTTACTCCGTCACCACACGCGCTATCCGTCGTCCCGCACTCCACTGTTTGCTGCGCATTCATCAGATCTGTAAGTCAGATCAAACGTAAAAAAATAATCTATTCTGAGTTACTAACAAGGGGTCTTATGTTAGCGACAAAAGATTTGGGGCTGCATGAGGCTGGAGCCCGTTCAAGCAGACTTTCCATAAAACACTAATGAGGAGACCCGAGTTTTTTTTAAATATAGTTATCCTGTTTGACGTTTTTCTCCTTGACATACTTTGTATTAACATTTGTATGTACCAGCGTTTGCATAAAGCAGAATAAATTAAAAAATCCCTCTGTAAAATAACACAACTTGCATTACATTTACACAATTAGATACGTCTCCTTAAGAGGGAGCAGAGGAAAAATTCCTAATCTTCGATTCGATTTTAGAGGGGTATATCCACTTTAAAGTTAAAAATAAAATATTGTATGAGTAACTACACGATATATTCAAGCATAGACATTAATCAGAAACATAAAACAATAAAGTTTCCTCGATAGATAAAAATCACGAAATGACCTCTAATTTTCAAATTTTTTCGATTTATCCTCGAAATGCTACAGGTTATTAGGACAAAAATTAGATAATTAATTATATTTATGCATGATCGACAACTGTCACTACGGATTTTTTTTATTCCCTTTAGTTTTAGAGTTATTCCGCTCAAACGAATTTGGTACTTTTAATGCGCAAAATTCAACATCTCCTGTCGCGTGTCACGCAAACTTCAAGCATATATTTGTGTCACAAATTTGGGCGGAGCCAACGTCATAACTTTTTTGGCAGGCTCCCTCTTAACTCGTAACTACGGACGCGGATGTTGATATTCGCAACACGCACCCATTCGTATGATCCCGCGCGACACTCGCGTTGTACAACGCGGGTCGTCTCACGTGCGATTCATTATAGTATTGAGTATATAACCAGAAATAGAGACTAAGTAAGGGCCATCCATCCCTGGCAATGGGCCTTATATCACTTTTAAATATCTACTCTCGTTTGCGTTGAAATCACAAATTAGAAAGCTGAAATAGTACAGTGCCCTATGTGTACGTCTCCGTATATTCCAAAAATATTCTTATTTATTGTAATAGAGATAGACTCTTAACACCTGGGTGCTGCAAAAACAGCAAAAAACAAACGGAATCGCATTTCATCGGTAATTAAATACGCAATTTTTCGATTTTTGTCCATTATAGCAAAGCTCTAGTTAAACTGGCCTATTTGAAGTGAAACAATTGACGACACCCGTCAATTGTTTCCAATTCCTGGCCAATTGGAGTGCAGTTGTCCACGTAATGATTTGGCAGAAAAGTTTTCAAACAAATTAAATTACATTTCGTCTCTAATCTGGTTATATACTCGATTTTTTAAACAGTGGATATGTTTATTGTTGTTTAAACAAGACTGCGTCAAATTTAGAATTATAAGATATAGGTATTTAGTAACAGTAGAGCTCCTTGTGAAAGAAAGCGTCCAGGGAAGTACGGGCGGTACCTATTACTGCCGCCTGGCAGTCTGCAGCAAGCAAGAACTACCTTGTAAACAAATTTATTTAGACGCGGTTCGTTAAAGCTCAACGGTTATTTTTGTCTTCCTACGACCAGCAGCTGGTACTCCACTGGCTGTTCCGTGGAAGTGACGTCGGGGTTGGATGAATCGGGACGGAACCGGAAACGTCCACCGAATGGAAGTCCAGGATACGGTGTGTGTGCTGGACTCAGGTTGACAGCAGCAGCCCTCCGAATAGAAGTCCGGGGCACGGTCTAGGTCTCTGGGCTCAGGCCAGTCGACGCGAAGAGTGGTAAAAAAGTACCAAGGTTCCATGGTTTTCGGGCCCTGAAATAACCATTGGTCCAGTTAGCACCTGATCTTGTAAGGTTCCTCTGCGCGCGCGCAGGTTATAACCAAGAGGTTGAAAGGAAGTGGGCACTATAAACAAAACTTATGTGTAATGATATGGGACTGGTCCAGTTTTTAATTATCCACGGTTTACTCCACTGACAGTGACAACGGCAGTGAACAAAGAAGAGGGAAAAGCACCATACTACGTATGCAGTGTTGCGTGATTGTCACAATCAGAACGGAGTTATAATGGAAACTACAACACTACCCAAAACATTTCAAAATACATTTTTTTAATTTGTTATAAAGCAAAACATAATCTTATAATTAATTACAATCTAGCTATTTTACAAGACTAATAAGCAATTTTAATTTAACATAATTTCCTAATAAAGAAATTGTCCATCGACAAAATATCTTTTAATACTAAGGGGCAGACTTGGTTCACGTGTTCATAGTCTTATTAACACTGGCACTAATACATAGAGCGCACTATAAGTTTCCGGAACTGCCGCTTACATAAACAGTATTAAAAAAGTAATTACATTTGAAAATTTTATTAATTATTAATTATTTATAAAATTATTTTATTTATTAATTATACATTTGGCTGTAGAATACAGTTTATTTCATCTGACTGTCACTTGCTTTTACATTGTGGCGTCATTTTAGAAATTGGTTATCTACATCACCATGGATTTAACTTGTGAAAATTTTATGTACGATTATTGTATGATTTTAAGTGTAATTTAACAGCTCAGCAGAGTTTCGCTCGGCTTTAAACTGCTTTTGGCGATGAAGCACCATGCAAGACGACTATTTACAGCTGGTTTGCAGAATTCAAACGCGGTCGTGTGAATCTCAGTGACGAATTTCGTGATGGTCGCCCGTCCACTGCTGTAAACAACAAAAACATCGATGCTGTGCGCCCTATGATCAAAACAGACAGGCATTTGATATACCATGAGAATCGGGCATATTTAGGCA